ATATTCACAGTACAAAATTCATATTCCCATCCAGATTTGCCAAGTCAAATTAGCTCAGGCCTACTCAGCAGCAAATATGCAGTCTCTGGTAAACATGTTACGAAAATTCTTGCTTCAAATGATGCATAAGCATTGCAAAGGAACAACTGCTTCATCCGTCTTGAAACTAGTTTATATTGACAATGATCTCACCAGTTTCACTTCCAGCAAAAGTATAAAACAAAACTTGTGTAATTCCATCGTATAATACAAATAATTTCGCACAGTAAATTTATGGTTAAAACATCAACGGTGTGGATTATCTGCAACAAGCAATGTTGTAATTGGGTCATGACGAAAAAAAAACCAAATTCATCCGCTTGATGAATTGATTTCCATTAACAGTTGAGCGAGAAATGATTTCAAATAAATAAAACTGTGCGCAAGGTGATTATATCGTCGCTTCGATGAAAAATTGCTTCCAAAAATTGTATGCATATTAAATGAGATCCATGGCAAACAGCAAAAAAATGATGAGATGAAAGTATGATGGAGATAAACTGGACACTGCATTAATTCAAAAAGTTTATATTTGGTACTTAAAATGCGTCTTTTGGTGGATAGACATTTATCGCGTCGCCTTCCATCTTTGATCCATCTTAGGGAACATAACTGATTCGAATGATATATAAGTGTCGGTTCGAATGCCAAACAAAGAAAACACAAAGATGGAGTGTGTGTGTGTTTATAAGCGAAATGATAAAATAATGAAGCATGACACGAATAAATGATGTGGAACCTGATATATACGTTTAACGAAAATTAACTTTGTTAAAGTTCGTTTCGTGTGTGTGTGTGTGTGTGTGTGTGTGTGTATGTTGTTTGTATATGTTGATGAGCGCGCGAATGTAATATGTTGCAAAGCATTGGAATTCAACGGGAGAAGAGACGGCAGATAAACAACATCAATGGCAATGGGCTGTCGCATACAGCGATAGAAAATGATAATAACCAGGACTGGCAGGAAAAAAGAGCAAATATTAGCAACCCGAACACAAATGTTGGTACAAATTTAATTCATAATTTGCAAATTTCTTGTAATTTCCGACAATGCCGACTTGAAAATTGGCACAGCAAAGCAAACACATAAACACCCAAAAAAACCAGCAGATAATGACGATACATGCATAGCACAAGCTAACGGGGTATTTTCGGATGGAAAGAAGCGTGTCTGTTCCATGCACACTTAAATTAACTGTCATTTGTTTGTGTGACGCAGCTCGTTCGCGTTTTATTTTTCAATTAAATAATTCAGTCGTGCTTAAAATGCGCAACAGCACCCTTCCCCCTACATATCTATAGACAACAGAACGCTCTTCGTTGCGACGACTGAAGTCACAAATTTGCATTTTAACGGAGCAAAATGAAAAGATCATTTAGTATCTTAATGCTTTAGCTTGAGTTTAACGATGAACTTTTTGGTTAGAAAACTAAAATTTATCTATAATCGAGGTGGTATGCAGCTGTTCTTCACACTATTTGTATCTTGTTGTTGTGTTCCAAATCAATTGTATTAACTTTAACGCTGCAACAATTTGAAATGAGAAATTTCACAGCAATATAAACAAGCACCTACTCCGCACTAATTAATTAAAAATCATCGTTAATGCACACAAGTCGAATATGTGGAAAAGTAAGTTTTTTTCCTTTCCCTACGAACTAAATTAAGATGTTTTATTTGTTTGTTTTTTCCCTAGCATGCATAGTACAAAAGTTTATTCAAGTGATCCATAGCAACGTTACAAAGTTTTGGAACAGTGATTATTTGAAACGCGCGAAGAAAGACGCAAAATAAAACCGTCGAAAGAATGTATCGAAAACTTTGTGAAAATCACTTTGAATGCAGTCACACCGGAAAATTCACAGCAAATTATCACCGTGTGTCTCAAAAAGTGAGTAACTTTTTCCAAGCATTTCATGCGTTTTTATTGCAGTATGGAGACTGGCATTGTGTTGAATATCTGCTTGTCTTGACTTCACATTGGTTTTTTGTGTCCGTTGCTATGTCACGCGACGTTCACGAAAATATTCATGCATTGATGAGTAATGCACACGAGCATGTAATGAGATAAGGTTTACTCGCGAGAGCATACTTCTGTACATTGCATCGTAGCGAGATGCTGTTGCTATTGTTACTGTTTAAATTCAATTTACTGCTATTTGCAGTATCGTTCCATACTGAACGCGAACAAGGTGCGACCCGCGTTGATATCACAATGTAGGTACAAATATGTGTACGTTCAAATATTAAGTTTAACAAAAGTAATTAATGGGATGGGATGGGATGGGATGAGATTGAAGCGAGTGTTGTACAGCGTTATTGTCAAGTTTTATGCACAAAAACCAAAGTCGTTGACTGATTACCCGTGTGAAAATATTTTGGCTGACTGCTTAAATCGATTGAAAGTGATTCAATTCACAAAGAGTTGAAAATATTTCGAATTTTGGTCGGGCTTTAGTCCCCTCTCAGTCAGTCGCAATCAGGCAACTTTAAATGAAGAGAATCACAGTCGTCTATTTTGTTCGAGACAATCACTATTGGCTGACTAAAATTATTGAATCAATAGCCGGCCAGAATATCCGAAATTAAGCGACAAGCTACACAGTCAAACAAATTTTACACGGGTATACTTTTGTACAACGAAAGAGAAGAGGAACGGAATGGATTGTGAGACAAAATACAAATTGTTTCTATCATTATTTCAATCATGTCACACGGGTATATAAATACAATGGCAAACTTTTTGATTTTCCATTTAATTTGGCAAATGAGATAATATTTTAGACGAAGACGAAGACGATGTGCCTTGATAGATGTATACTTGTTTTTATTTGGCGAAACTTGATGAAATCTGAAACGTTTTGCATTCCGCTTCGATCAAATTAAATGTCTTTGAATTGGCCAAACAATTCTTTTGAATGAATTCGCGCATCCATTACGATATTCAACAAATTTGACTCCTTCTTTCAAAAGGATACGCTCACCCAATTCCCTACAGTAAAAACGGTTTCCACCAACTTTCCAACACAATATGATTGATGGATGCTTCAAACAATTACGTTTATTTGCTGTTTATAAGCGGTTTAAATTTCGCCGACGGTCTATTCGTGCAAAACACCACTCAGTATTAATATGAAGGGATGAAAGCATTTATAAAGTTGAGAATCGTTTCATTACTGAAAGGTACAAAGCCATCGATTAAATTGATATGAAAACAGTGTAGCGCAATTCATGTTGTGTACTCGTGGAGTAAATTCATAGCTGTCATTTGCTAAATTGGTTGCCTTCATCGAGTCAATTCAATCAATTCCGTGCAAATGCTCTAAAAGACAAATTATTCAAAGTTTTCCTGCTTTCCATTGTCCTTTTTTTGTCACTGACTTACTTTTACAACGAATAGCTTTTTAAATTGGATTTAACACATGGAAAAATATTGCTTGCAGACAAATTTATATTTTCCAAATGGAATTACGTAGCATGTAAAAGTGAATTTTTCCCCCTTTGTCCTGGCATCCGTTCCGTGGATTTATTCAACGTAACAATAATCTAAATTGCAAAAAATGGTCATTTGTCTGTTTTGCAATGAACATGATATGCATTTCAGTTCGGTTTTATTTTTGAGATCGCCATGAAAATATATATCTGTGCTGCTGGTACCGTACCACTACTGAAAATCGATTAAAAATTAATTGGAACGATTTTTATTTGCAACGGTTTCCGCACTAAATCCTAATGAAGCAGGCAAATGTGGGGAGCAGGAAAAAAAATACGAGAACCACGGAACATATTTTCCGTGCTTCTTCCGTTCGATGAGCAACAGCAGTAGCAACAATATTCATAATTTATCATGAGAACAGTACGGGGATTGTGTTTTGTTTTTGTGTGTTACGACAACCCAATGGCACGATGCGGCAGGAAATGGTGGAGAGCATGTCCAATGCACTATGTGCAGTGTGCACACACACACATTCACATAAAATGAACACGAAAAACCGCTGTTTTATGAGTGTACTTCTTGTTCGATTCAATAAAAATCTATGAACATCAATTTCGATTGTTTTGGATTGCTTTTTGTGTGCTCGTGTGTATTTGTATGGAGCATTGTTAGTTCGGTGTTTATATTTGTTCAATGGCACACAATGTTTGTATATTTGTTAAAATAAATTGTTCCCAAATGTGCATGTTCAAATGCCAAATTTGTTGGCGTTCTCTGTGCCACAGCAAGCATCGACCATTGTTTCAATATTGTTTCCCGTTTGTTTTTTTCTTGTGTTCGATCGAGAGTAATAATTTATTCAGTATTCTCTTGGTATTGTGCACATGCAAAGTTAGTCATTTCACATCCAATTCTTGTTGTTGTTCTGGTTTTTATTCTCGTACGTAAAATGTTGCAAAACATTGTTAGTTATTATGAAAAAGTCATTTTCTCAAGATGTTTCTCGGCTTTGAAAAACGGATTACTACAACAATTGGAAGAAAGTCATGTTTTTAATCGGTTTAAATGACGTATTTTCAACTAAACTTACCATCATCATTCATGCGATTACACAATTTCATTGTCTTGCTGCAGAGTGCACGGTCCAGGAGTCCTTACGATGATGCACTCCATCGACCTTACCATTTTGAAATTATTTTCGAACCTTACAAAGAGAGAACAATTTATTAGCTTCACCAGCCGGGAGATCGTTTTTCTATGTTTGTCGAGTTTTTTTTCTTCCGAGTTTTCGAGTGCTTCACCATAATGCCATTACCAGCCACTTGAAAGCCATTAACGGATTAATTTTTTGGCATTGACTTACTCAAATGATAGCAGCATTTCTGCAGGTTTAGCAAAAACTGGTAGATAATGGATGCACTTGGGGCCATTTCCCATTTTCCCAATTTACTTACCTCGCTAGCCCATTTAAAAACTCCAACGCAATCCATTTTCGCGCTGAAAATTCAGATTAAACTCGGTACATTTTTTTGTTTACTTTATTCTTAGTTTATTTAATACTTCATTTTCCGGATTTTATTCACATGACCTTATTTCAACTAAAAACTAAAATATAAAAAAATAGTCATTTGCAATCGATTGAATGCGATGCGCTTGAGAAGATGTCCAATTGTTCAATAAAATATCACTTTTAAACTTGAACGAGAAAAAGAAGGGATGCAAGAGTGTTTTTAGTAATAAAATATGATGAGGAAGGAGGGCAAAATGGACTTTGAGCTGTGTTTTTTTTTATCAATAATAATTATAGGATTATTACTGATATCTACGAGTATATTTTTTTTCTTTCGAAGTGACAGACTGTATTGGGCTACGGTTTCTTTTTATAATCCTTTGGTTATATCCATGTTATAAACTGACTTCTGCCAACACTTTGGCAACAATTATATAGATGCTTCCATTGAATCTTCTGAGCTGTGTATAAATGAAGTGGATACTGTGTTTTCACATTTCTTAATCATTACCAACCACAATTCAACAAATTTGCAGTGGCTTTTATGTTTGCTGTTCACTAAGTGACAAACCACCCAATCAATTCGACTAACATGTGTTATTTCAACCTATTACATAAGTCAACAGATATCAAAGTGGGTAAATATATAAATATAGAGAGAGAGGGTGGAGTATAACTATGGTTAAATGGTCTGTGGTCACTTTTGGATTGGGAACATGTCACGATGTTGAGTGGATTTGTAGTTACATTACTGTACTGATTTGCTAGCTTTAATAAGAGCTGTGTTATTGCCAAAAAAAATGCTTAATACTATCATTGTAGAATTTATTTAGGCCAAATGCATTGCCGTTACACCCCGAAGAAAATATTGTACAACTTTCGAATGTAGCAGGCAAAACATTGGGCTATCAATATTAAAATTTGGTTTGAAACATGTCGCTTGACATCGAAATACAATCAAAATTGTGTTCGATCTACAATAAACGAATAAATCATTGTTACTAAGTAAGGTGTGATTGAAATTTAAAAAAGAAACAACATGCGCTCATGTATGTTGCCTTCATAGCTATACGAAAAATTAATTCCGAAACATGTTAAAGGTTTTGCAGAAGTGAAACTTGAATCCGTCGCACAGAAAAAATGTCTTTTTAGCCGTGCTTATAACAACAATATCATTGTATTCTACATGATAACGGACTCATGTTCGATATCTGTTAACATATCGTTAAGGTCCGATGGATCTTTTCCAAGATATCCGAATATATTCGATTTGGAACATGGGGATGAAATAGCAGCATGTTCCAAACTTGGTCAATTTACTTCGACATCACACCAGCCGCTGTATGATTTGGAAATAGACGATACTTTATAACTCAGACTAGCAAATCGATATTGTACTATAATCACGGAATTAACCAAAACTACTTAGCTCATATGCTATAGCAATGTTTAACGTTTAGAACTGGAAACTTTGTTGGGAGCGCCGCCAACTACAATTTTCTGTAACTATACGTACGTGTGAAAGTAAAGTCTTTGTGTGTACGTTCATGTGAATGCAAAGAGTCTATGTGTGCGTTGTACACAGAGATGTTGATTCGTGCAAACGTCGCATCCAACGTCGCATCATACTAGGCGGCGCTATGTACTTTGCTTCAATCGTCAGTATTTCTCTGTTTTGGAATTAACGGTTGTTGTTGTCGGAAAATGTAAAAAATCTGTATGTCAAAAAGCGAAGGTAAAAAACGAAATGATCAAAAAAACCAAACAAAATCCTTGACATTATTATTTTTGTGAAAACGTTGTTGTTGTTTTTTTTTTGTTGGATTAGATATGACATATTATTTATTTTGGTATAGTTAATTTGGCTAAAATGCATGGTTCGCATCTAGGTAAGTATGGAGGAATCGGTAAGAATCACCATTTCATCTTTTTTGACTTATTTTGTGTGCATTTTCCGGCCAACAATCTCTTGTGTGAGTTAATCTTCAATTGTACATTCTTAAACTAGTTAAATATCGATGAACTTTGGATAAGTTGGATACTTTTTGTTTGTTTTAAATAAGACATTTATGATATCTATTACACCGTTGTAAATTTCTTCTTTGTAATGTAATTTCGACATTTCATCAGTTAAAGTGACAGTTTTGAACAAATAAATTCTATATAACGAATACATTAACATGAAATTTTCTTCGGAGAAATGCTTATTCTAGATGGGTGAGTGTGTGATGTGTTGTCACATGGAATAAAATTGATGAGCAATATTGCAATGAATCATCATTACAGCAAATTGTAATTAACAACATTATATGCATTGTCATTAAATATAATTCAGTAATATCTTATGCGCATACGTGCATTACATTTCATTTTCCACATATCATGTGGCATTCATTTTTCTTAATATGTAAGAATGTTTGTGTGCACCAGAACGGTTCAGAATAGATAAATGATGATTTACACATATTCACTCAATATTTTATTTTTTATTTCATCATAGATTTATATACTTTTAATTTTAATGTATTGAGAACCATTTTATGAAAATTCCACGTGTATATACAGTATGCGGTGTGTATCATTTGCTACATTTTGACTAAATGGATAATGAAGACGTAATTTTGTTTTACCTTTGCTAAAAGCCTTTGTCTTTTCTTTCTATTATCGCTGTGGTTTTACATAAATTATCAGTATTACATAGATTTTGATTTGAATTTAGCCTACTCTTAGTTCTAAGCGCCATGAGTACGACTCCTCTTCTCCTGTTGCGAATGCAACACAAATTCATGGTCAAATTAAAATAATTCGAAGCTTGATTCATATGACATATTTCTCTTGTGGTTTAAATCCCTTTCTAGATCACTTTACAAAACATATTCAAAATATCTATAAATGAATTCCACCATTCTAACCGCGGTGGTTGCCATGGATGTAGTGAATATACTTCTAGATTTCATATTGAATGTGATGATTTTTGTCTCTTAACTCTTCTCTGATAGTTACTATGCTAATTTTATTAGACCACTTATGTATCAATTTAAGTAAAACACCACATTGCGTCCAATTTCAATGCTAAGCAACGGCTTCTTCTATTGATGTTAATCAATTTGGTATAACATGCGATGAAAACATTCATGTGTGTGTGTATTTTGTAAACCATGGCAAACGATTTGTCGCATTCTAGCTAATTTGAAATATTAGCAAATGTCCGGGGCATTAGAGCAAGAGAACGATATACACAAGTACAAAAAAAATGCGACTGGCAATGTCCAACCGAATGCGGTAGTTCAATTCGACTGGCTTTTATGCTTGATTTGATTTTAATTTGGTTGATTTTCTCCTCCAAAGAAGTTTACATTTGTTCCAATCTCTCTCTCTCTCTCTCTCTCTCTCTCTCTCTCTCTCTCTCTCTGCTGTATATCATTTTGTCTCGTATCACTAATGCCCCATTCTTCTCTTATCTCCACGTTCGTTCATTCTTTGGTTTGAATCTGCTGCCATTTGGGTCTGCTCTCCATTCCAATGGCGCAATTTTTGTCGCTCTATTTCACTTTAATGCTGCCTTACATTCAGACGATATTAATGCTGTACGCTTAAATAATGATGTCTTCACTTGATAAATGCTTCAAGTTTGATTTGTTCGGGTTTTATTCCATTACCTTCATCAGTTTTTTTTCTGCCTGGATAACATTCTTTCTGGGGTGTATATATGTGTGTATGCGTATATAGGAGATGCTTAGAGAAATCAGGCCAATTACAGTCACCGTAAAAAGTAGAAAATCGTTGCAATTAGGTTGAACAAATGTACCCAATCAATTGGCGAACATCGGTTACTGCTTGCGTGCTGCATCGCTGCCGGATTCTCCCCTGGTGTTGGTTGGCCCATATATATTGTTTTTTTCATTCCATTCCATTGTGCGGTTTGTTTTTTTTTCACCATGCAAAGAGAAGAGTAGAAAAAAAAAGATGTGGATTTAACGGAAAAGTCTTTTCGATTAAAGGGAAAACATTGTCTGTCGTTTGCTCGAGTTTTGCGGTTGTGTTTTCAATTTAAGGAACACGCCCGTTGAGCATGTGCTCTCAAACCATCCAATAGTACCTAGCACTATACTGTAAACCGCAACTTGAATGGTACAAGTGGATATGCTACCGAATAGCTAAGTATATATATACATAGCCACCAACGCCAATTAATTTGTTTTACTTTAATTTTCTGCTTGCATTTAAAGAGATTCTAGTGATTGTTTGCGGTTGTGGCCATAAAAGAGATTATTCGGCTTGAGTTTGATGAATTCGAATGGTAGAACTGTTTTACCGGTTGATCATCGAATTTTTTCTTCTAATGTTGAATCGGTTTTCATTTATTTTTAATCCATCCCAATCATTGCGGTGTCGTACGAAATAAAATGAATCCCATTGAACATAAGCATATAGATTACCACGGAACTTATATACTACTAGTATGCTCATATTCAATGACTTTTGTTGTATTCTGAGTCATTTAAATTTAGTTTGAATTTTTGGTTCTTCTTCGATTTTTTAGGCTTTGCCAAAAGTACCGACCGAGTTTTTTTCCCATTCAATCAGTTTAATTTGCCGATCCAAAGACACAACTGAATTGAATCGATTTTGTAAATGATCTCGGGTTTGAATTCCAGCGGCATTTTGTGGCCATGGAAACAGCATAAAAAACGAACGTCTGCAAACTGGCCTTGTCGTTTTTCTTCTGTACTCATTGGGCTGAGGCACTAATTTCTATACTCCCTGAGCTAATTGATCGTTGTGAGATAGAAATCGTTTCAAAGGTGGATGTATATGTGTGTTTTTTTTTCATTTGGGCTTTTTTGTTAGGTGCCGTTAGCCGAAAAAAAATCCAACATTCCTATGTAAACACATGAAATTAATGGATACTAAATGCGATTTGAGCGAATTTCGCTTCAAGATAGGAATTTCGAATGAACCGTGCTTTATTTCCAGTGTGTTGAGAGAAAATAAAACTGATTCGTGTTTAATCAGTGCTTTGAAATCGTGAGCCAACGAGATTTTCTCGTTTTTTTCTGCTCTTGACTATAATGTGTCTGCTTTGACTATAATTAATTACGCTGATTGGAATTTTTTTAATTCTTCTGTACTGTTGATTCTCCAGCAAATAAATTGCACGTCCAAAACCAATCTGGCTTTTATGGTGTGTGGCATGAATCTTTAAGGTGGCAATAAAGTTGTCTGGCAAAATGTTTTCGTGAAATATTGTTTGGGTTTTATTTCACATTTGATTGCTTTCCATTTTTTTCAGTTTCTTTTTTTATTCTGGATGCGAATAGCTAATGAAAATCCAATCACTTTCGATTATATTTTCTTGGGAAGGAAAATCGTAGATCAAACGGAAAATGGTAAGAAATTCGGTTTTGTTTCATATAAAATTCTTTAGTTGAAAACGATTGTGTATGTACACAACTTCCGTAAAATCCTTCGATTGAAATGCGTTCGGTTGGAAATCACAACATCTATCAATTTGCTCGTGAATTTAATTAATGTGCTGTACATAGATGTGATTACAGGCATAAATTTTGAAATTATACTTCTACGCCTACATGACGTTCGAACATATCATGATTCATGATGACCTGACACATGTCTTTGCCTGAATAATGATAATAATCAGTGGCAATGTTTCGTATTTCACAAACATACACCCACACCCACACCCACAGTCCCATGCATGTATTCACATTCGCATATATATCGAAAAGGGTTTTGAGAAATGACGCCTATTCCGAAATCGATTTGTGGCGCACAACGACTGATAGAGACGTAGAGTATGAGAAACGAGTTTCTCAGTTATTATGTCGTATATCAGTTGTTAGGCAAGCGAACGATTTGAATGAAGACTACAAGACACAATGCGTCACGTTATAAATTATGTATTGGACAGAGGTTATAATACAAGCTCATCTATTCGAACACCTTTGGTGTGTGTGTGTATGATGTCGAAAATGGAATGGCTACTTTGAAATTAATTGCCACTTCAACTATTCAACTGATGAAAAGTAGAAAGGAGAGGACGGGAGTTCTATTCAAAAATCAGTTTCGGGCCATTCTTTGGCCGATTCGTATAAACGGAGCCAAAGTCAATAACGGTTAATAGGCAATTAATTCACTGAAAATGTCACACAGAGCACAAAGTCCCATATCAATATTGAATCAGTGAACAAAAGAGACCGACTTGACGGTGCTTAGGACGATTTGGACGATGGTTTTGTCATCATCATAATGAAAACCAGGGAATGTCTGCACGTAGATTTATTCAAATAAATTAAAAATATCAAATAAAAAACTTGTTGGAAATTCGATCAAATTTATGCCCCAAATGTCAAATCAGTACAATCGGTAGATGAACGCACCCCAAATAACCATAAGAAATACATTGAAAGAAGTTAGGAACGCAATCTTAGGGCAAAGTTTCCAACAAGTTCTTTATCCGATATTGTTCATGCGTTGCGTTGTTGTAACGCATCTGTAGTACAAAGTTCATATTCTCTTCCGGATTTGCCAACTCAAATTTGAGGGTATTTTGAGCGGAATCCGGCCGAAATAATGCAATTTAGCAACCCAAAGGGATGCGCACTGGAGGACTTTACTTCCAGAATACATTGGACCAGGTCGGATCCACCTGCTCCACAAGATTCACTTCCAACTCAGGCAATATTTCAGGAGTTTTTACTAGTTTTGTTTTCAGCTTATATTTAAAAATAGCGTTTATAAAATATCGGCTGCGCTGGAAGTGAAACTTGTGGAGCAGGTGGACCCGATCTGATGCAATGTATTTTGGAAGTGAAGTTCTCCAGTACGCATCCCTTTGGGATGCTAAATCGCATTATTTCGGCCGAATCCCGCTCAGAACACCACCAAATTTGAGTTGGCAGATCCGGAAGAGAATATGAACTTTGTACTACAGATGCGTTACAACAACGCAACGCATGAACAATATCGGATAAATTTATTTGATATTTTTAATTTATTTGAATAAATCTATGTGCAGACATCCCCTGATGAAAACTTTTCGGGAACTCTGTGTGTTTGCTCGAATACCGAATCGGATGGGCCAAGCTCAAGTTGAATAAAACAAGAACTAACTGCAAATTTATTGCAAATGAAAAAGAGATACACACAGAGCATTTTGTATTTGCAGACACAAATTTCCGTTAATGTCGACTCTGTCGAATCCTCACCCGTCTACAGCCACACATACACACTGGAAATGCATTCACGTGAATAATCTAGGTCAGTGATTTAAGTGTGTCTCCTGCAAGTGTACGACATTTTCCGAAGCATTTCAGCTAATTGTATAACATAATGCATGCATCTCTCGTATATGTAATTGTGGGAACGAGGAACAAATCGTTAGGCCAAACAATTGTATGGATATGAAAACGGGGTAAACGAAGTCAATAAAGAGAAAGGCAGAGTAACGAGCTTTACAATGATTTTGCCGCTTTTGGCCACTTGTATTTTGCCAGCAAACTTTTTACTCTTATTAATGAATTTTTGTCCAAATAATCGATGCGCACGCTTTATTGCCATTTACGTTGCCTTTGCCACACTGTCGCCTTTTCGCATTCGCTCTCTTTTCCACATATTCCGAAAAAGGGTACGATCCGAAAGCAACACTACCAGAACGCATTTAATATCGAAACAAACTTATCCACAAGCATATATCATCGCTCGGCTTTAACTTAATCAAGATGAAATTTCAGAATTATTATCGCCAGATTAACACTCTGTGTGATTAGTGTGTATTCAGAGCTCAAACTTCGTTCACACAGCCTGAATCAATGAGGGAAGCGCCCGGAAAATGGCCAAAGGTCGAGTCATTTTCACAAAACGAGATTCAGTGCATTTTATCTCAATAATGGAAAGGGCAATTGAGGTCGATTGAAAAGTACCTTTATTCAAATGTGCACTCAACTTTCGTACGTAACATGGTTCTGAACACGTATTTACAACCGGGTTTTGCACTGATGGCCAAATAAATAATATTCAATTTGTGAATACGTGTGCGCTCGTCCCTTAAAATACCTTCAAGCTGCACACGAAACCAGAACGGAGCGATGGTCTCTACGCAAATACAAATGACGAGTAAGTGCAATTGTTTGGAGAAAGTGCAATGCTATCTATAAACTTCCATCGAGTAAATGATACCAGTGAAATTATAACCACAAGCGTAAGCTATAACGAGAGTAATCTGCCTGATGCTAAGCATTCGTCTATTTCCAATTGAACTCAAACTGTTTCGCATACACATTTCAGGTGATTCTTTTTTATCATTTCCTCTAGCGATACGCAGTGAACTGTTTTGTTCTTTTAACCAGCTGTATAAATGCCGATGCGGTTGTTGTTTTAGTTGATTTGTTGTTATTGTTGGCATCGTTTAATTGATGTAAGTCTTATGAGAACACTTACGTCGGAGGGCAATGTATAACATGATCATGCCAGCTTCGATAAATGTAGAGCAGGTCATTTTCAACGCAAATGAAACAGTTTACTAATATCGAACCATTATAAAATTAAATGACTGTAATTACACTTCTCTCGAAAGCCCATTGAACGTGATAGACCATTATTATTCGTATATTGGAATAGTTAAGAGGATGAATAATGCTGACGACGAGATGCACATTATAATGGATTCGAATCCCAGTCGGATTTTATACATTCAATGGGTTCCATGTCTGAAAAACACGGTCGAAAGTTAAGGGCAAATCGAGACCGGTTGAAGGTGAAATTACAATAACATTCTTACGCATCATAAAGCACACCAACTTCACGTGGCGATCCATTTCACAAAATGTGCTTCTATACGGACACATACTGAGATTGATTTGTTTGTACACTCAGTCTACACAAAGACCAGATCGATTCGATTACCTACAAAACAAAACCGGCATTGATCACAAGCCATGGAGAATCGGCTTCATACCGTATCGCTTTCTATGTATTTGCATCATGTAAATTTTGGAATCATGGCATCGGATTGCAAATGAAACGGTCAACGTATTTAATATTCTACGCCATAAGTACACAGTTGAGGCCATAAGACACATATTGATAGAATCACATTTTATGTAAATTAATCGATTTTCACCGAGAATCGAAATGTGGCTTTCTCAAGTGTGTATGTAAAGCTTTGCCCATTGCCATCATTTTCGGGTGCCGAAGCACAAATCGTATAGATTCCTTATCTCTCTCTTCAAATTGTATTTGAGTGAGAGAATATTTATTCTCCAACAGCCAGAAAGATCGTCGATAAGCTTATTTCCAATCTGTCATTTTATTCATGATATGCTCAACAGACCAGACAAGCCATTGATTCTCATTGTTTTACTTAGCAATGGCAAAACAAAAGTTTTCAATTTACATAGTTTACGTAGCTAATGACCCAAGAATATCAATTTATTTTAATGTCTTGATATACATATGTACCCAAATGCTAGCCCAAATGACTCGTTTGAGTTTCTTGACTCGAACGATAAACTCCCCGGATATTATTCCTTTTCTTTTTTAATTTGAAAAACAAAACGAGCAAACTTTTCACATTTTTTGTTCATCTCAATACGCAGAACGTATTCGACTTTTAATTGAAAAATAATTTTTCAAACAACATTCTGCGCTGGCTCAGTTTCTATAGATGAAGCAGATGTTCCACAGATGGTTTTGTTGTTATTGTTGCAAACAAACGACTAAATCAAATATTTGCTGCTCACATCCACGTCCATTATAAAATTTATAGGAAATTGTGATCATGTATTGATTTAGTATTTAGCAATGCTTCATAAGCATTGGCTCCATGACTGGATCCATGTTAAATATTTAAATATTGGATGTATGTGAGCAACAGCGAAACTTGGGGGAAAAATGGGATTTGGAGTAAAAGAGTAATGTAAACTCACCGTTCAGCACATGAACCGCTACCGTGACTTTTGCAAAATCGCCAATGGCACACGTATAGTTACCGGAGTCGTGTCGATTCGCATTTGCTATATATAATCGGCTGACAGCTTTGCCTGTATGTAAATCAGTTTTAACGCTATTTTCCCCAAACGAGAACGGGAACAAACAAATCCGAAAAGAATGGAAAGGGAAAAAAGAGAGAAAAAAGTAAATTATTAGTATTACGATGCTTGTATCCAATTGGTGAGAGATGCCAGAGTGTGTAGTTGTATGGAAAAATGTTGTCTTCTTTTCCCATGTAGTTCTTCTTTTGTTCATAGAATTTTCCAACATTTTTTTTGGTACACAATCTCATCGATTTCTCGCCAGCGTGCAACTTAAGCGTATTAAATAATTTGTTTTTAAGGTAAAATTGATTTTTGAGTTCAGTTTTGCCAACGGCAGCCATGCATATTGCAACTTTTTTTCGTAGACGCATTCATTTTTCATGCTCTGAAACGAGACTCATTCTTTCTCCATATATCGCGCATAAACTTTGCATCCCTTTTTCTTTTTACTTCATCATCATCGTCGTCGTCCTTGTGGTGCCTCTTTCTGATTTATAAAACTATGATTTACGATATTATGCGGAATTCGATATTTCGATGCATATCGCCGAGAGCGAGACTCCATCAACCACCTCCTTTGGTATCGAGAGACGGATCGCATAAAAAAAGTGAACAAGCACAAGTGCACAAGCCGTGCATAAAAAAGTACATGTGAGTTTGATAAAGAGAATCAAACGAAAAAAAAATTCCATTCGTTGTCGTGCCATGGGAAAAAGTCGGTTGATTTATAGTTGTTCTTCTATTGAATTTTGATTGATCGTGTTGATATTTGCAGGGTGTGTTTTTTTTTTCGTTTGCAAAATGTTTTTTTGTCAATTTTGCCATTGAAAAACGCGTGTGCCTCTTGAACGTAGACAACAGCAGCGTTCGGAGTTAATGCCCCATATGTGGAGCTAACATGTTCGCATTTTACGAGATCGCAAGATATTGGAATATTTGAAAATACATACTCAATTTGCATTCACTTATTCCATCTCAAGATTTGTTCGCTTTTTCTTGCTCATAATCCTTGTTCAGCTGCTCCTGCTGCCGGCGCTAGCGTTGCCGTTTCCAATGCACTATCGCATGTACAGTACCTCGTGAAATTCCATTAAACGAAGCAACATCTCTTATGCATGCGTTCAATTGAAGCAATCTACATTGCTTGTGTTTTGCATGAAGTGAATATTGCATCAATTTAAAATGGCGTCCCAGTCTTCAAGCACATCAACACCACCACCAACACTGCCACATCAAGTAACTCAAATGTCATAACCAATTTGAATGAGTTTGTTGATATGTGCCAGCGAGCATTTTCCCTCTTATTCAATTTCTTCATGATTTGACAGCATGTATGGTTTTTCTTCTTCTTTCTTGTTTGCCTCGTTCGCACGATAAATAGTGTGAATGAATAATCGAGAATGATTCCAGACGACTGCACGGCAATAATATTTCGACACGGTTTTCTACGCAAGAGGTATGGAGGAGCATATGCTGACTTCATGAAAAATGAAATGGCTTGAAAAGGAGAACGAGCTTTTGCCCGGGCACATGATGCATGGGCATTTCACTGGAACTGCGACGGAATGCACATACACAGAGAATTTTTGGCAGACAGATTGTTTTCTACTTAATGCATCTAATATATTTAACGTCTTGTCGCTGATGTGTGTATTTTTTGAGAGAGAGAGAAAGAGAGGGAGAGAGAAATTGTGACCGAACACGCAAAAGCATTCAATCATCTATGCCGTGCATCGGTTTATTGACTGCGTTATTAAAACACATTCAATAATTTAGGCTTTCAGTGAGCGTTGATCCAATACACTAATGCATATAAATGGTGTTACGCGTGCACATGATACACACACAGACACACGTCCAGAATGGCTACAGGCTGACGTGCCGTTCAAAACTACTGAATTGCAACCAGCGACAGATGCAATGCTTGGAAAAAATAATACAGCTTTTGATCAATATTTTCAATAAAATATGATTTATGGGTCAATTCAAACGACCATTATTACTAGATTTTTCCATTCACATGTGGATTCAAGCACAGAACAAATGAAAAACGGTTGAATGACCACGAGAGTTTAATTGAAACATAATATGAAATATAATATTTTGTTAGCGATTTGAACAACGTTTGATTTAATAGAATTGATAGCGTTCCGTATGTCATTTTAATGGCTTTCACGGCCTAAATTTCAAAACAAATAGAATTGTTGATTAAAATATTTAAAATTAAAAAAAAATATCCGAAATTGAAATTTCCAGTTAATAACAATTATTGTTATTGTTTTGATTTTGTGTGAGCCAAATTCACACCAACTCATAATCTGATTAATAAAATCGCTACCTCAAAAACAATTCACATAATGGAATCGGTTTTCACTTACGACATTTATATTATTATTCTCTCTTTTTTTGTGTTTGTGCTTATGAAACGTCAACGCAACCGCAAAAATATGAATATGTTCGGTTGAAAAATAAAAGCTTATGTCCAAATGTTACCCATATTCAATATTCATGAAGTGAAAATAGAATGAACTAAAACACAATATTCGCTAGTAGTTAAATTTATCGGTAAAACAAAAACCCGATATCGTTCCGTATTTTTCGGTATTTTTCGCAACGTTTCCATTATTATATGCATATTTTGTTATTGTTGTTGGAGACCATGTGCAGAACGTGCGTTCAACTGACATGACACGAGTGAAGGTCGCTTCGCTCTGCTCTGCGTTCTTGAAGCTTGTAAATTTAAGGGGTTTAATTAATTTGATGTTTCTCATCAAATTATTATTTTGTATGCAAATCATTTTAATATTGTCAAAAGTAATTAAATAAATTTATATGATGATATTGTATTCTTCACTTATGTGTTTTATGTACATTCAATGTGAATGATCATCGTACATTATTTCACATTGGTAACGAAAAAAGTGTAAATTTTTTTTTGGGTTATCTCAAAATTGAATTACAAGAACATGTTTTTATTTCATTTTTGCAATTAGGCGTAATTGTTTCATTTCAAATAAAAAATATGGATATTAAAATGAATCAATTTACGGTCCAAAAAAATGGCCTAAAGACTCTTAAAATTTTCTTGAAAAAAAAATAACAACTACAGTAGCCTACATTCCATGTAGTGCTAAAAACACACACACACACACGAACGGATGAACGAATACATTTTTCTCACATTAATAATAAATTCGGGCAAAAAGACGTGAAAAAAGTTTAAATTGAGTCATGAACTTTGTCGACTCTGTAACAAAAACGTGACATTTTTTCTTCTTCTCGGGAACACACAGTTGAAATCGAATCCATCATACAAATTTGCACACATCAAAACTGAACGAATGAGTTCCGCATGAATAAAAAAAAGAGAAACCCTTCCATGCACTGCGGAATAAATTTATTTTGTTATGTATATGCAAATACATGTGAACGTTTGTGTGTTTGTATAGCGAGGCGAAAACATGGAAATATCAAGGCACTGAACATGGGCCAAATGTTCAGCATCAAAAATGAACTGTCAAATTCATAAAAAAAGAGTGTGGATCGTGTGTGCATGTATACAATGTTGATTATTTTGTTTTTCTATTAACCATTGATACTGTCAACATCATACGCAGCCACCGACCAAGATTGAAATGCACTATGTCACAAATTGTTCTATTTAGTTAGCGCCGCCGAATCACGGTGGATTTAATTTTGGATGGTTTTGACGTCAGCCGTTACCATCACCATCACCACACCACCATGATGGTGAAATAACAGCGTGCATGAAAAAGCCAAATGCAGCCGTTGTTAGTTTGAATGAGGCTTCATGTTTGTTTGATTGAAAAATCATGTTATTCTAACAACGTTTAAATCGAAAACTACACCAGAGATATGGTCTATACATAGTATCCAAACCATGCTACAATTGTGTCACATTATACTAGCAGCACAAACGACTGTTGTGTGTCACAATTGCTGGAAGAAAAGCCTACTATTTATTGGTAAGCATATTATTATTACATTTAAATTTTTTCCTTTTTTCACTTTTCAAAATAAAAATCATCCAACTTTTGAAAAATATATTGAATTCGATCAGAAACGGGAGAAAAAAATGTTACATTTCGACTGTTTAAACAATGACGAACTGACCGAAATCTGTAGCCCATTGCCTGGAATTTGACTATTTATTTATTAAATTTTCGTCTCATTTTCCGGCAGCCAAATTTAATTGCCTGAAATAAATGGTCTTTTTTTTGTAGAATGTCAGGAATTTATTTATTTTCATTGAACCACCAAAGTGTGCATTCGTTTCGTTTGCTGTTGACGCTTCTGTCAACAGTATAATATACCGTAGGCCCCTTCAATTCTGACTGCAAATCAATTAAATGCATTCAATCAACCTTAATTCAAAGGTTTTATTGTAGTACATGGTTTTTGTTGCTCTCAATTCCAACAATTAATGCAATCATTTCAGGTTCATCAAGGACAAAGCGAAGCTCGAATCACAAATATAAAATATTTATTGACTGTTTTTAAAATTCGATTTGCTTCGAAAATGCCGGCGATTCATTGAAATTCATTTAACTGCCGCAAAAAAGACGGGATTCGAATATCCGGCGTAGTGGATATATAGACGTGAGTTCCCGTGTGAAAAAATAGTAACTGAGCAGTCAGTTAACTAATTTGGGACAAAAATGACTTACTTTGATTGACATTTCAGTACAAAGTGTAGTGTAAGTCTATCATAGTTAACTGAAATCATTTGAAGTTACAAGTCAATCTAAGTTGCTTCATTTGGGACCAAGTGATTTTCTTAGAACAAAAATATAAATTCAATCAACTAAAGCCAACTGAAGTTATAGTCAGTCAGTCATTTCTTTTTCACACGGGTTCCGTACTTCATTCACCGCTTATACATTTTTTTGTATGTCACTGAATAAAAGCGTACAGAATCTGTCAAAATACTCACTGCATATTCAGACAAAATGATTGGAAAAAAGAACTTTATTTAATAACAGCACGAATTCAATAATAGCAAACCGAT